GCAGTCAGGCAGTATCATACCACTGCCCTGTAGCTTGGTCAACAGAGTGAGACTCCATCTCAAAAAAAAAAAAAGCCGGGCATGGTGGCGCATGCCTGTGGTCCCAGCTACTTTGGGGGCTGAGGCAGGAGAATCACTTGAACCCGGGAGGCAGAGGTTGCAGTGAGGCAAGATCACACCATGCACTCCAGCTTGGGAGACAGAGCAAAACTTCATCTCAAAAAGGAAAGGTCCGGGAAAAGCCTGCACCCGCTCCCCCGCGGTGGCCATGCCGGGCCCTACGCTGAGCCCTCTGTTTTCTTGTCTCTCCATTCCTCATCACGGTGCTGCAGGGTTGGAGCCACTCCTGGTCCCATTTTACAGACCAGGAAATTGAGGCTCTGAGAAGCCGTGGTGGAGATGATTTCATCAGCATGCTCTGGGGCAGACCCCTGGAGCCACACAGGGGGTGTGGGGCCCACACCAGTGCCCTGGTTTATAGACAGAAGTGGCAATGGCGCTTCCGATTGGGGCTGGGATGTGCTTGGACTCCCTGAGGGGCTGTGGGGCCCTGCGCCCAGGTCCAGCTGTTTGGGTGCTGCCAGCCCCTCCCACCTGTCCCGCCCAGGCTCATCCCTGCTGTGTCCCTTCCCTCTGGTTTCCTGTTCAGTTTCAGGAAGGAGGCTGGGAACCCAAGTGTAGGGAATTTGGGCCCTGGAGTCAGACCTGGGTTCACATCCCAGTGCCTCCATTTCCGGTGTGACCTTGGTCCAGTCTCTCAGCCTCAGTTTCTTCACCTGTAAAGTGGGCTCCATGATTAGATGCGCCTTGTGGAGCAGTGTAGCAGCGACCTGGTTTAGCCACTGGTGGCCCTAACAATCATAACTTGTTAAAGTAGCTCCATCGGTCCCCTCGGGGGTTCTGGGGGCCCGTTCCCCTGTCCTGCATGCACTGTGAGACCTGCCCTGCCACAGAGCAGAGTGTAACAGCCTGAGGGTGAGGGGCACCTAGAGCCAGGCACTGTGCCCATGCTCAGACTGGATACTGGGCAATGGGAGCCAGAGCAGCCTGGATGGGTAGACTTCTGTGGACCCCTCAGCATCCAGCCTCGGTGCCTTCAGCGCAGGGCCGCATGGCTGTGGGGGCTCACAAGACCTGGCCCACTCCTGCTTGTGCCTGCACCTGAGTGTTCGTGCATTGGTGCCTTCTGACGCGTTCTAGTGTGTGTGAGACATGCGGAGCTGGGAAGTGTTGGCAGAACTGTGAGTGCCGTCTTCGCTCCTTTTGTTCTTTTGACCTAAACTGGCGTGCAGCACTGCCTGAGTTCTGTTCAGTGCCTGCTCTGACGTGCGGACCCTGCTGCAGCCTTGCTGTTAGGCAGTGGCGGTGTGTGCCATCATTGGTGGGCACCGAGGGCCTTTGGGAGCTTTGGGGAGGTTGTGCCAAGCCTGAGCCCCGACATCCCCCTTCCTGGCTTTCTGTGGGCTCTTCTGAGGCCAGGGTGTCTCTGCGAGGGCCTCCTGCTGAAGCTGCCTCCGTGGATCTCTTCTGCCATCCTGGCCCACGAGCGGGTGATGCGCTGGCCACTGTCTTGTGACAGTGGCCTGGCACTGCTGCCAAATGTGGGTCCCGCATCTGCAAGCCCCTCCCTGGGTCCCCTAGGGTATGGGGTGGCTCTGCCACTGCCCTCGCTCCCCGACCTTGGGATGCCTCTCCCCCAGCTCGGGGGAGACCCTGCCTAGGATCTCTCCAGTGAGGAAGACACTTTGGAGGGAGACACACGTGTTCTTTTTTGGAGCTCTGCAGTGGCCGTGGAGCCCAGCCCACCAAGCGCTCTGGGATGAAAACATCCCGCTGCTGTCTGGGCCTGGCCCGCGCTCTGCTGCCTGCGCTCCAGCTGGCTGAGGCCGGGCACGTCTGCGGGCAGGCACAGCGGCGGGGGCGCCACGGTTCCCCTGCAGAGTGAGTGCAGCTGGAAAATGCAGCTCACGCCCTTTCCCAGAACACCTCGCTCTTCATGGCTTGGCAGCTGTCCTCGCCGAGGGGCCGGGGTGCCCAGGCACTGGTGGCAGGAGAAGGGCTACATCTGGGGCTGAGGTGGGCAGCGTCCTTTTCTCCCTGCAGCTCCCAAGGCCCAGCCCTGGCCCAGCTGGCGTTCCTGACCTTAGCAGCTCCATGATCTGAAGACAGGCTGGGTCCTGTGAGGCCACCTCGGAAAGGGCTTTGTGTCCAGGCAGGGGCGGAAGCCAGCTCTTCCTTCTGGTTGAGGCAGGAATGAGGCCAGTGCTGGGGCAAGCCGTTGCCCAGGGAACGTCACAGCTGTGGGAGTACAGGGGCTCCGGGTCCTGAGCCCATCCACTGTGCATCGTGGCGCTGGCCTCAGGCTGGCTCGTGCCATCATTGGCTGTGCCCACAGCTGAGTGGGTGATGGAATTCCAGCTGCCCAGCCGGATCTGTGCTGCTGCTATCTACAGGGCACTGCTGCGCCCGCACAGCCGGGCTCATTGGCCAGTTCACTTGCCCCCCCACCCTCTTCCTGCCTTGGCTTCCTCCATTGACACACTGGACCCTGCTGGCTGCCTGGGGAGGTGTTTGGGGAGTGGTGTGGGGGAGGGGGGCCCCTGGAGCCTCAGTGTACTCATCAGGAGCATAGGGCCAGAGCAGCACCTGCCCACGCCGGCTGTGACGGGTCAGAGTGGAGAGGGACGCGAGGGGTCGCAGCGCCTGGCTCTGTGTTGCAAGGAGCTTGCAGGCACTCCCTGCAAGCAGGGGCACCAGGAGCCGGCCCTCATTCTCCCCTTGACCTGGAAGGGTGACCCTGACCCCAGCGGCAGGTGGACGTGTATATGAAGCACCCTCCTTCCCACACCCCACAGGTGGGCTCGCCTCCAAACAGGCCTTTCTGAGCTGACTGTGTCTTTCCATCAGTGTAGGCAAGGACATCACAGACTCCCCTTTCTCATCTCCCTTGTTCAGGCTCCGAGGCCGGAGTCTCCATCCGTGTGCCTGTCTGTGGGTCCCGGGAGGACCTGAGGCTGCCCATGTCACCCCCAGCGTCTCATCCCGGGAAGAGTTCAGCCATGGGAGGGATCTGTAAGGACAGAATGCCACTGGGTCTGGGGCTCCCCGGCTAGTCTCACACCCCAGGACCAGGACCCAGAGACCCTTATGCAGGGCTCTGTTGTTTGGGCCCTGGCAGCCTCGTCCTCTATCCAGAGGCTGCAACCCCCATCCCTCGTGGGGTCGGGGTTGCGGCTGGCCTCCCTGGCCCTCCCCATGGAAGTGGTAGGCGGAGCCAGCAGCCGTCTGCCCAGCCCGGGGCTGCACTGTGTTCCTTCAGATGAGCGCCGTCCCAAACTGCAGCCCGTTAATTTAAACAGGATCATTTCCGGCCCTGGAAACCGCCTCACTCTCCTTAAATAGAAAGGAGCACAGCACAGAGGGAAACAGATGAGGTCATGGCTCGCCTGGCCCAGCGAGGAAGGGGCCGCAGTGGGGGTGGCACTGCCGCCTGTCCCCTGTCCTCTCCAGCGCCCACACTGCGGCCCCTTTCCTCACCCTGGGCCTGCTCTAGGGAGGGATGGGCCTGGGGGTCCCCTTGCTGGGCTGAGGGGAACAGTCTCCTCCAGGAGAGCATGGGGCCTGGCAGGGGGCATGGGGCCTCCCCGGGTCTGGCGTCCCGTCCTGCCCCTGCCGAGGGAGGAGCGGTTACATAAGCTCCACAGGCCCCTCCGAGCCGGTCCCCCCAGCCCAGTTTCCAGTGAGGCAGCCAGCGCGGGCGGGGGTGCCGGGCCTGGCGCACGCCTGCTGCTGACCACATGCGTCTGGAATGTGCAGATGTTTCTTTGGGGGCTCCTTCTGGCCCCCAGACCCCACTTAGCATCTGGTCTGGGGAGTGGGCGCCTGGGGCAGTCAGCTCTGAGTGTGGGGCTCTGAGGCGGGTCCGATTTGTCCGTGGCCATTCCCTCTGCTGTGGATTGGGAGGGCCCTGGGGGCTGCCCCACACCCAGGGAAGTTCTCAGCCCCACTGTCGCGAGCCCCGACCACGGCTCCTCCTGCCCAGGAGCGCCTGCGGGGCGGAAGGCCCAGCCCCAAGACTTCCCGGCCCTGTCAGCCTCAGGCTTCACCCACCCTCGTGCCAACTGTGGGCAGAGCCCAGGGGAAGGCAGGAGAGCCAGCGCCCGGCTGGGAACATCCCTGAGGGGCCCACACTCCAGGGCCAGGGGGCCTGACCTGGGGTTCACACGCCTGGGTGGCGGGCAGACCCGCTGCAGCATGAGACACGTGTCACCTACCTTGGGCTGGCAGGCTGGCCCCGCTGCCCACAGCCCTGGGACGTGGCCCCACCTGCGACAAGGGTGTGGAGGGGCAGCCTCCAGGCCTGGGCACATCCTCTGCTGTTCCTGTTCCTGCTCCAGGATGGTGCTGGGAAGGGGTGAAGCCCCCACTGTGGCCACACACCTGGGACTTCCTTCTCCATCTAATGGTGCCCCAGCAACCGCTAAGGAGTCTGCTGGGTCCTACGCTAGAATGGTCCTAACTCTTCCTGCCTTCCAGATCAGACACTCAGCGCTGGGGGCCCCTCGTGTCCCGGGGCTGGAGCACCGTCCTGTCCCCCATGGGGGTACACTCCTCTCAACAAGCCTGCTCTCAGCTTACCTGGGAGCACATCCTGGCCCTTGGGCACCCATCAGGCCGTCCCTGTGCACCTGGCTCCCACCCTTCCAGCTAATAGCAGGAACTGGGGCGAGGGGTATGTGGGGCAGCAAGGCCTTGGGATTCCAGAGGACCGTGCACTCCACTCTGTGTTCTTGCCTGGGCTTAGGGCCACCCCGTGGTCCTGCTGCCAGATGCCTGGGCCCTGCTGTGTCCTCCATCCTTGCAGGGAACCAGAATGTGGGGGCAGGGCATCAGACAGTGGTGATGATGTCACCTGGCGGGTGCAGAGGAAGCCTGAGGGGCGGGGTGGGGGGCTGGCGCGAGGCCGCCTGGCTAGGCCTTGGCGTTCCCCCAGAACGGCGATGGCAAAAGCAGATGGAGATGTGGAAAAGTACGGGAGCAAGCGGGGTGAGAACTCCACAGGGACCCCTGTGCCCATCCCTGTTCCTGAAGCCCACACCTGAGTCCTGCCCAGGGCAGATGCTTGCACACCGTGGGGGGCTGCATCTGGCTCATGTCTGGGCTGCAGCTTGGTTCTGCTGTCCTGGGCTCTGGGAGCTCGGCTGAGTGGAGTCCCCAAAGCCTTGCTGTGTTTCTGGGCTGTGGGCCGGGGTGGGGGCCAGGAGAAGGAGTCAGCCCAGAGCCTGGCGTGCAGGGAGTGCGTGGCCAGCACCCGTGACAGGCGAGGCTGCCTGCTGGCGTGGAAGAAGTGTCCATGGCACCCCAGGCCTGGTCCGGTGTGGGGTGGGCGGGGAGCGGGTGGGCTCTGGGGTCCTCGGCTGACCTGCCCCCATGCCTGCCCTGGCTTGTCAGCTCCCAGCAGCAGCCATTCTTGATGGATTTTCCAGAAAATGGGATGTGGCCAAACATTTTCAGGCTTTTTCTTCTTTCCTTCCTCCTGTGGCCTTTGTGGGAGCTGCTCCCCATGCCTAGGGGCAGGTGTGAGAGCCTGTGCCACCTCCCCAGGGCTGTTTCACAGCTGTGTCCCTTCCAGGGGGCCTGCCTGTGTTCACCGTGGCTTCTGCAGCACCCCTTGCCCCCTAGAGCTGCTGCTCCTCAGGTCCCGCTGCCTCATTTCTCCCTGAAGCGTTGGTTCTGCTGCCGCTGCAGCCGCTGGCAAGTCCCTCCTCAGGTCTAACTGCCGTTCCTCATGGCACAGTGTCCCCCTCGGGCATGATGCTTGGGCAGCGAGTGGGAGTCTGGCTGCCTCACCCTGTCTCGAGAATGGCCTCTTGCTGGTCTTCCAGTCGCCGGCCGGTCCCATCCCACAGTGGGATGCTGTGGACACCCAGCAGTGCGGCTGTGGGCACCCCCGTCCTTATGGGCAGTGGGGAGCACCTCAGCCCATGTCCCCACCTTGGTGTAGAGGAGGGGACGGCAGAGAAGCTGAGTTCAGTTAGGGGGAAAACGGTGGCCCTGCCAGAGGGGCCATTCCCTGTGTGCCTGGCCCTCAGATCCTCTCCCCTCCTGGAGCCCAGGGCACTGGCACAGGCTCTCTGAGTGTCCCACAGCCTGTGGGGGAAGGGAGCTGCACCCCCAAGCATGCCCCCCATCTTCAGATGGAATGAGAAGCTCCAGGAGCCGGGTGCCCAGCACCTCGTCCATCTGGGCACCCAGCCCGGGTCAGGGCCCAGCTCTACCGTCAGTGGCTGGTGCTGCTTCCTGGCATGGAGAAGGCCTCATCTGCTCTGTCCCCCTCAGCTGGGGTGGCCTCTGGTCCCCTTTGTTGGTTCCCCTCTGAAGCCCCTGCCCTGGCCCCGGGTCCCTCCGGGCAGCCTGTGTGTGCATCTCTCCTGCGCCAGGGTAGGCTGCTATGGGAGTGGAGCTCCGATAAGCAGGGCTGGAGGCTGGCAGGGGCCGGGCGGGCACTCAGGAATGGAGGCCGCCCTACCTTAGGCCTGGCTGCCAGGTGGTCATTGCTGGGAAGAGCAGGTCTGGGCGGAGGCGCCTGCTGGGTCACGTGTGGGGAGGGTGACACCTGGGGAAGTAGAGGCCCATGGCAGGCAGCTAGGCCTTGGGGGCCTGGGGAGCAAGGGGTTGGTGTGCAGAGCTGGGGAGGGAGCCACAGTCCCTGTGCCAGGTGCACTACTGGGAGTGGTGGGACCAGGAGGGGCACCCAGGGTGGGCAACATGGTGACCCTGGAGGTGCCTGAGGCCGAGGGAACATGGAGTTCTCGGTTTGCCCTGGCTCTCTGGCTTCTCACCTGCTTGTCACCAGCACCAGGACCTGGTTTGTACTCAGGCAGCTCTGAAAAGAGAGACATGCTGCCGCCCTGTGGTTTCTGTTGCTTTTTCTCCACTGACTACTAACATAGACTGTCTTTCCCACAGCTGTGACCAATTGTGCTTCTTTTCATTGCCTGTTTTTTTTTTGGTTTTTTTTTTTTTTGAGTTTTCCTTTTTTTCCTCCCTCCCTCCTTTTTT